CCCACATAGGGATCAAACCTGGGTCGCCTGCACTGCAGGCAAATTCTTTACCGACTGAACTGCCAGGGAAGCTCAATGAGTCCAGGGCCCCAACTAAGTCTTCCTGTACCTCCTGGGGTCCCAGTTCTCCTGGGGAGGGGGCTTTTTGAGGTATTCCAGCTGCTCTGGCATCTCTACCTCACCTCTCTGGCTTCTTAATGATTCAGGATCAAATTAATAGGCTATAAATGAAAAGGGGTATTGGCCAGACCTCTGATCCTGACTTTTGTGAGGATCATACTCGCATGGACTTCTAAAACACTTTCCTTCTTTTGGTGGGTGGGCTGGTGTGTTTCCTACCTCTGGGCTTGGTGTGTGTGAGAGGAGGGTGTCCAAAGTGGCCAGTGGCCGAGGAGATCCAGCTGTTGGTCTCAGAGTCAGCCTACAAATTTGGGACCAGGATGAGTGTGGGTAGGATTCTGGGTCAGTGAGTAACCTGCCTCTTAGATAATTTTCTTCCTGGGTCTAGCTAGGGAGCTGCTCTTCCTTCCAACACGGACAGAATAAAGGGATAACATGAGTAATTAAATAACTAATCCCACTAGAGAATTGTAAGTAAAGAAGTAGTAAGTATGGAAGACCCTTGTAAGTTAATGGTTACTCAAGAAAGCAGGTGTGCTTAGCTGCAAAACCAACAGGCTTGCTTAGCAACAAAACCATGTAGCAAAAGTGTAAGATATTGCCCCCAAACAATAAAATAATGGTAGCTTGAGACCCATATCCTGTGAATTCAGTAGGCTAATGACCCTTAGGACATGCTCTCTGCACACCTAAAAAGCAATGATTTATGAAAAGGTAACATTTCAAAGTGGAAGACCCTCATTGTACTGAGACCCAAAATAATTTTTCCACAGTGCCACAGTACTGGCTTGACCATGTAAGGACAAGAAAATTCCCCTGCCCAACCTGGAGGAGGAGAGAGAATGGAAACATGACATCTACTTAAAAGTGAAGAAGAAAGTGGTTTTTCCCCTTCCCCACTTTTCCTTTGATTATAAAAAATGTAGGTCACTAAGTTTTCAGGGCATGGCACCTTCTTGCCTACCCACCTATAAGCCTCACAAGCTCCTATTGTAGTAAATAACTTCTTATCTATCACTTTATCTCTTGCTGAATGCTTCCTGAGCTGAGACATAAAGGACTGAAGGTCCTTGGAGCCCCCAAAACACCACCTAGGGGTTTCAGTTTCAAGTCCTCTGCATTCCCTGTGGCCCTCACCTACCACCAATCCTGGTCCATTACCATATACAGACTCCTGATGCTCTAATCACTGAGCTACTTTACTGACCAGCAAGAATCAGAGGAGCTCCTGGCTTTGTCCTGGGATTCTATGTTATTTAAAGTAACACATAGGGATTTCCATGGTGGTCCAGTGGCTGAGGCTCTGTGCTCCCATCGCAGGGGGCCTGCGTTCTATCCTTGGTCAGGGAACCAGATCCCACATGTCACAGAGAAGAGTTCACATGCTGCAACCAAAGACCCCCGTTCCGCAACTAAGACCTGGTGCAGCCAAATAAATAATTTTTAAAGATAAAAAATAAAGTAACACATACAAAAGAAATAAAGCATCCTTATTTAACTATTTTATTTATTTCTTGATGGAAATACATGCACAAAGGGAAACTGTAAAAGTTCCAAATGAAATATTGTGGGGAATTTTTCTTTTTACTTTTTTTCTCATTGAAAAATCATGATCAGTACCAAACAAACATCTTGAAAATATCCTGAATGCAGAAAGTAAACTTTAAAAATATTTATACATTTCATTCAGGGCATCTAGATTCATTTTTAAAAGGTTGGTTAAATAAATAGGATTGTAATAAGTCAGTAAGGGTGAAGATGAGTGTCTTTTCACTGCCTTACTTGTTTATACCTTCTAAGAAAAAACAACACTGAAATCACTTACACATGATATTTATTAGAGGAAGGAGATAACTAGAATTTGACGGAAAAGGAAGACAACAGACTGAACATCCCTCAGGAAAAGAGTCTGAGAACCACACTGCAAACTGGCCCCCCAAGAGAGACACCATCAGAGATCCAAAAAGAAAAACATTGAATCTGAAGACTCACTAGCTGCTCTCTTCGGGACCATGCAACTGATGGCATGGGGTAGAATACTAGGTCATTCCAAGTATTAATATGTGGGGAACATACGCATAGAGTATGCATAGAGTAATCTGTACTCCTCATGCACTACTTCCTGATCACAAATGCTGCACTGATCCCAAAGAATCATCTGGCAGTATTCCCTTAAGTTTGGTTGATGCATTTTCCATGACATGCCAGTTCTGCTCCTGGGTACCTATCCTAGAGAAACTGTCTCACTGACCAATAAAGATGATTCCATACGGTAACGGCAATAATTCCATATGGTAATGACTTAGCAATCTGTCCCTGGGGTATAGTGCAGGGGTGAAGTATGACAGAAGTTTATTAGAGGGGAACAGGCAAGAGAAGGAAGCAGCAGATGAAATTTTCATACAGATATTTTGTAAATTGGCAAATGAGTGAAATATAATGAATAAAATCAGAATAGAACACATTTCCTTTTACATGAATATAGAGGCATGCAGAAAATTATATAATTCAACAATGAAAAATATTAAAATACACACTAAAACTACAATAGTTATTAATAGAAAAAAATCACATGTAAAGGGGAGCAGACAAATGAGAATTACTTATGACAGAATGGCAATAATTACAAATAAACAGGACAGGGGCCATACAAACAGATATGATTAAAAGCACGGTGTTCCAAAAATAAACTCAAAATGGATTAAAGATCTAAATGTAAGACCAGAAACTATAAAACTCCTAGAGGAGAACATAGGCAAAACACTCTCCAACATAAATCACAGCAGGATCCTCTATGACCCACATCCCAGAATTTTAGAAATAAAAGCAAAAATAAACAAATGGGATCTAATGAAACTTAAAAGCTTTTGCACAACAAAGGAAACTATAAGCAAGGTGAAAAGACAGCCCTCAGATTGGGAGAAAATAATAGCAAACGAAGCAACAGACAAAGGATTAATCTCAAAAATATACAAGCAACTCCTCCAGCTCAACTCCAGAAAAATAAATGACCCAATCAAAAAATGGGCCAAAGAACTAAACAGACATTTCTCCAAGGAAGACATACAGATGGCTAACAAACACATGAAAAGATGCTCAACATCACTCATTATCAGAGAAATGCAAATCAAAACCACAATGAGGTACCATTACACGCCAGTCAGGATGGCTGCTATCCAAAAGTCTACAAGCAATAAATGCTGGAGAGGGTGTGGAGAAAAGGCAACCCTCTTACACTGTTGGTGGGAATGCAAACTAGTACAGCCGCTATGGAGAACAGTGTGGAGATTTCTTAAAAAGCTGGAAATAGAACTGCCATATGACCCAGCAATCCCACTTCTGGGCATACACACCGAGGAAACCAGATCTGAAAGAGACACGTGCACCCCAATGTTCATTGCAGCACTGTTTATAATAGCCAGGACATGGAAGCAACCTAGATGCCCATCAGCAGACGAATGGATGAGGAAGCTGTGGGACATATACACCATGGAATATTACTCAGCCATTAAAAAGAATTCATTTGAATCAGTTCTAATGAGATGGATGAAACTGGAGCCCATTATACAGAGCGAAGTAAGCCAGAAAGATAAAGACCATTACAGTATACTAACACATATATATGGAATTTAGAAAGATGGTAACGATAACCCTATATGCAAAACAGAAAAAGAGACTCAGATGTATAGAACAGACTTGTGGACTCTGGGAGAAGGGGAGGGTGGGATGTTTCAAGAGAACAGCATCGAAACACGTATATTATCTAGGGTGAAACAGATCACCAGCCCAGGTTGGGTGCATGAGACAAGTGCTCTGGCCTGGTGCACTGGGAAGACCCAGAGGGATCGGGTGGAGAGGGAGGTGGGAGGGGGGACCAGGATGGGGAATACATGTAAATCCATGGCTAATTCATTTCAATGTATGACAAAAACCACTGCAATGGTGTAAAGTAATTAGCCTCCAACTAATAAAAATACATGGAAAAAAAAAAGCACGGTGTTCACTCAATTCAATGTGCTCTGAGAAGTAAGATAATCAGGTCAAACCAGGTTGGTTAAGAACCCACCTACCAATGCAGCAGATGTGGGTTTGATTTCTGGTGGAGGAACTAAGATCCCACAAGTGGCAGGGCAACTAGAGAGACTTTGTGCTCCAAAACTACACAGCCCTTTCACGCTGGAGCCGACAGAGCCCCAGGGGAGACCTGAAAAAGAGTGACAGTGTTAAGAGTCAAGTCCTGTCTCTCTTCAACTGCATCGTCCTGTAAGGAAGACCGGGTGCAGGCATATATATATATATATATATATATAGAAATATGAGAGTTCTAAGTAGGCACTGCACTCTCCTTTTTCCGATCCCTACGTTATCACTCCCTTCTTCTTTTCCTCACCTGATGTGAAGGCAAGAGGACCTGGAATCTCAGGCCAGCTCCAGCATGAACCAGCTGTGGGTTTTGCAAAGGGGGAACCTGGCTGAGCCTTCTAACACCAGCCCATCCTCTCTCATCTGCTCAAACAGAACCTTAAGTGTGATTTAAGCAGTTGTGCCTCCCAAGCAAAGATGCTTCTTCCAGGAAATGGAAACTGCCAGAGACCCTCCTCTCCTCCCCTCCCCCTCCTTTAACCCAATCACCAAAAACCACTCAGAACTTCCATGCCCCTCCCAGAACGATGTAGTGATCTCCTCAGTCCCCAGGGACCCCGAGGTAATTTGCAAGCAAATGAGTGTGTATCCCACCTATCAACACCAGGGTTTCCCAAAATCAGGTCAGGCAGGCACTATAAAAGTCACACTCCGCTCCCAGCTGAATCATTCAGTCATTCGCCTCTGTGCTTGGACCCACTACGCTCTCTTCTCGGCCTGGTGAGGAGGCTGAAACCATGGAAGCGCACGCGCACTGCTCCTTGGAAGCGCAGTCTGAGAGGAGCGCACGTCCCGAGCCCCACTGGCCTCCGGGCCTGAACCGAGAACAGGCCTGGGTCTGGGCCCTGGATAACTTCCCCGCGCTGAGCCGCCCCTCCTGCCTAAGCCCCGACCTCTGCGGGGACCCGCACTACTGCGCCTGTGGGCTGCTGCGCCACGCTTGCCCCGGACACGCGGACGGTCCCCGCGTCGGGAGCGGCCAGAAACGCTGGCGAGACCCGCAAGTCCGGGAGCCGGCTGCTAGTCCGGGCTGGAGCGACGGCCCCGTCAAGAAGAGGCCAAAGCCACACAGCGCGGGGCCCAGGAGGGTCTGAACAGCCAGCAGATGCCAGCAGCTGCGGAGGCCGCCAGACCCGCGGCCAGATCGCCTCCAGGAGCCCAGCACCCCCTCCACCCCACCCCACCCCACCCCACCCCAGACACCCCGAGGCTGTGGAAAACTGAGACTTGAAACCCGGTGGAACCCGGCAAGGGAAGGATAAGCAGCCTTCTGTCTGACTCACAGCAGCCCTTTAACCTCTGCCCTGGACTGGAGCCTGAGTCACCCCAGTGGAAGCCTCATTCTACCTGGCTGGACTTCTCCTCTGGGCCCCCTGCCTTTCTCTGGGATGAGCCTGGAGATCTCTTTGGGTGAAGCATTCCTTCTTTATCATTCCTTTCCTGAATTACTGACAGACTTCTCAGTTAGAAATCTCTCTTCTGCTTTTGAACTGTGGTGTTGGAGGAGACTCTTGAGAGTCCTTTGGACTGCAAGGAGACTGAAGCAGTCAATCCTAAAAGAACTCAACCCTGCTATTCATTGGAAGGACTGATGCTTAAGCTTGAAACTCCAATACTTTGGCCACCTGATGCAAAGGGCCGACTCATTAGAAAAGACCCTGATGCTGGGAAAGATTGAAGGCGGGAGGAGAAGGCAGTGACAGAGGATGAGATGGTTGGATGGCATCACCAACTCGATGGACATGAGTTTGAGCAAGCTCTGGGGAGATGGTGATGGACAGGGAAGCCTGGTGAACTGCAGTCTATGGGGTCCCAAAGAGTCTGACACAACTGAGTAACTGAACAATAACAACTTCTGGGAATCCATGCTTTCTTAAGAAACTTCCTTGTCTATGGTTGTGAAAAATAAATAAATAAATAAAATGTAAAAAAAAAAAGAAACTTCCTTGTAACTGTAATTCATTCCAGTTGTGCCCAATGATTAAAACGTAACTTCTTAACCTCTGCCTGTGGAATTGATTTGGGTGGGTGGATGGGTGGGGTGTGTGTGGGCTCTGGCTGAAAAGGGAACTGTGGCCCAGGTAAGGGTTCATTAAGATTAAAGAAATGTAAAGTGAAACCATGACATATAACTTTGACTACTTTAGTGGCCTGTATTAATCTTTTCCATTTGTTCAAGTATTAATGAAGTAGTAACTCCCCAATACAGCTTTTGAGAAAGAAGTTGAAAGAATCTTTGGAAAGCCAATTGACAATATGCATTAAATGTTTCAATATGTATACCCTTAAAGCCAGAAATCCACTCCTACAAGTCTGAAATTTTAGTTCAAAACTGATGGGTTTTCCAATACAAGATTTAAAAAATGATAGTCATATTTGAACAATCCCAACCTATGCAGCCCTAGAAATAAAATGGAAGACATAATTTTGAAAAGATAACCTGGAACATAGTGCAGTGACTGTAACAACAGGGCTTGAACTCAAGGCGGAGATTCTAACCAAGCTGCAGAGGAAGGCAGTGAGACAACCACCCATGTAGGCTAAGAGAGGGCAGAATTCCAGGTCCTTCCCCTGTGGACACCCTGTGACCACCTACCCTGGGATATCCTGGCTTTTCTGGATCCCATTCAGCCACTTGATCCGCAGTATTTGGCTTCTCTGGGGATGTAGTGGGACCAGACTGGAACCCAAGTGTCAGCTCCCAGAAGGGCCTTTTGGGGGAGCTTCCAAAGTACTCAGGGCGCAGAGAAAGCCTCTGAGTCTTCACTATTTCTCTCCTGCTCGGTAGTTCCTACCCTCCCAGAAGTAGAGCACTCCCCTGCGCCTCTGCTCAGCCCCTGGAGGTTGTCCAGACCCAGGATTCTATCCAGTGAGGGGAGGGCAGTAGCCAGATTCCTGCTCTTGCCTGCAGACAACACAGCCCTTGCAGCAAGACAGGTGAAGTGCCAAACCTTCACTCTGCTGTACCATGAAATAGCATGTCTGGGCCAAGAAAGAGGAACAAGAAACAGAAGTCCTCTAGCCTAGGACCTCTAAGATGTCAGAAACAAGATGCTGAGAAAAAGGCATAGGTGTTAACCCTCAGTACACATTCCTTCAAGATGCCAAGTCCAGGGGAAGAAGCAAATTAATATCCTCTTCTGAATGACAAAACTAGGTTGAGTGTGGCTTTGGTCAGATCTGATTGATTAGGTCATCCTAGCATTTGATCCTCACAGCATGTTTACCAGTGTTTCTGAGAACCAGCAAGAAAAAACAAAGAAATAAATCCTCCCAAGAAAAGTATTTCTCTCCTTTTCAGTGACATCTGCCCTTCCTCTGTTCAGCATGTGGCAGACGAATTATTTGTTTCTATGTTCACTCTTTCATTCAAAAAGCCTTACTAAGCATCAGTATTGTACTACATGTGGACATGATCCTGAACTAAAGCAATCAACCAGCAGACATGATCTGTCATACAGTGTTTGACTTTCATGGGAGGAACAGGCAGTGAACATGACAATAAATAAGAAATAAAACTCATTTAGTATGATAAGTGCTATCAAGAATGCTTTACAAGTGAATTGAAAGAAGGTAGCTAGGAGGGTGCTACGCTTACCTTGAAGAGTCTAAATAGCATGTTAGAGACAGGAGGGTGTCCTTGCAACTTAGATCTCAATAGTGTGATGGAAATGCTGGAGGAAGGAAAACCTCACCATCAAGAGAGGACATCCAGTTCCCAGACTCAGCCTAGAAAAAGATGAATACAGTCATGGACAGAGGGAAGGCAAATGCAGGCTTTCTACGGCCCTAGTGAGATATATCTGGACCTTCGCAATCTCAGAGTTTTCTGAGAGGACCTGCTACCATAAAATCATACCTAATAGGCAATTATGATGAAAGATTCAATTTTGTGTTAGATTTGATTGAATAGTTGAATTACTGACTTTGCTAACCTAATCAACGATCAGATTGACCATAGATGGAGCCAAGAGATTGATAAGAGAGAACTAGCTGATGGTATTTGAAGGTGTTTTCACATTTTCTTCTTCACTTTGTAGGATTATATGACTCCATATATCAGCTAAGCTATTTAGTTTCTAGGTTATGACATTGTCTTTTTCTGGGGTAGATACAAAATAAATAAACAGAAGAAAAAAATGTTGTGATTATTCAAAAATCTTTTCCAAGACACTAGAGAGCAGTAAAATTGGCTTTAAATATACCAGAGTAATCTGGAGTATGTAAACTGAAGATCCTTTAATATATCATCTCCCCTCTTAGCAACTTCTGTCTAGGGAAGTTGGAAGGAACCAGTGTGGTGATTTTCATGGTTTGGAGGGGGAGGAAATGTCAGTTAGAGGGTTGCTCAGTAGGTCTCTGCGTTGGTAATGGGACTCCCCATTGGGAAACCTCATTCCTCTGTGCGTTATAGCCACCCAGGCACCTTCCCTTCTTACAGTGCAAATGTCCACACACTGTTCACACCTGGACAGATATATCTCTGCTACTTAGCACAACACAGCTGCACTCAACTTCCTTTTTAATTTTAAAGATATTATAATATATTTAGTAAAATACTGGGGTCTAGATGTATATCATAATTTAAAATGTAAGAAGCTTGTAAAGTGACAATAAGAGCTTACCTGATAGAGTGCAACCCTAGCTGCAAGGTCCAGGACAGCCCCAAGAAACAATCATTCCTACAAACACTCCTGCTACTTTGGGTCCTATGGCTTCACATCACTCTATGCCATATTTTGCTTTCAACAGAGCTTTGAACCAAAATTTACACACAAAAGGTTAGGTTGCATAAAATTTTGGGTTTTCAGATTGCTAAAAGAACTCTAGAACTGTATATTCAAAATCCTGCTAGTGATTCTTGACAAGTGGGCTTATAAAGAATCGTGTCTTTCCATGAATTCAAGTGTTATTTCGTTTATTTATCTAAGAATTTGAAATTACTACTAGAAAAAGGAAGATGAAATGTAAAGGTAATTTCTTTATTTCCAGTTCTCATTGATTTCATTTCTCACATACACTCTTTAAGAAATAAAGGACAAAGTAGAACATGAAAGTACATCAATAGAGGCACACCAGTGACTACAACACACAGCCACGTTATCATGTCCTCTGGTTTTGTGCTGTTTGTTTTACAGGCTCAAGCCTCACTGGAAAATTTTTGATTGAATCTGAAAAAGTAAAATATCATCCTATGTTCCAATAGGGGTGAAAGGAATACTTCTGTAATTCCTTGGTACAGGTCAGGGTTACACACTGGTTGAGCCACAGCATGCATTGGACACAGGACGTCCATGGAATCCTGGCAGGGAAAGAGAAAAAGGATGGCTTAGGGTGTGATACCAGAAACTACAAAGGTGAGTTGAAAGAATCATAGGAAATAGCTCCCCAGGGAGGGAGCCCCCACTTTCAGACTCCTGCCAATTTAATCCCAGTGATGGATGGATTTGCCCCCAGAGGAATCACAGCAGTTGAGAAAATCTCAAAATGACTGTATTAATGTTTATTACACTCTTGCATGAGCTTCCATGTTGGTTCAATAGTAAAGACCTGCCAATGTGGGAGATGCAAGTTTGATTCCTGGGTCAGAAAGATTCCCTGGAGAAGAAAATGGCAACCCACTACAGTATTCTTGCCTGGAGAATTCCATGGACAGAGGAGCCTGGTGGGCCACAGTAGGATAGTCGGACATTAGCAACTAAACAAGGTCTTAAACTTGGCCTGCCATTGTTCTCTCATCGCCCTGATTTCAATCCTGGGTTTGGTGGAAACAGAGTTCTGCTCTGGTTGGTACTGAGAAGTCACGAGCCTTGGCAAGTCGCCGAGTTGGAGTTAGGATGGAACCGTTCCAGAATCTGGCCTCAGAAATCCCTCCCCACAAAGCCAGTCTCCGCGGCTCCAGCACCCCGGCTCCAGGTTAGCTCGGATGTGAGAGCTGGAAATCGAGTTGCGGCGGCTCAGAGGAAGGAGGGACGCGCCCAGGAAAGTGTCCGAGGGAGACAGGAGCTCTGCGCTGCTGGAGTCCAGGCTTCTGGATGCGTTTGGAGCGGCGACCAGCACCAGGGACCGGGGAGCCACGTGCAGATGACTGGACGCCCGGCAGATGGACTGGAAGGGAAAGAGCGCGCGGAGCGCGCAGGAGTGTTTCCAGGGCGAAGCGGGGTTCTGAGGACTGCTGGCTGCGCTTTGGGCGATCTCCCGGATCCTGGCAAGTTTGACCCAGTTTGCCAACAGCTGTGCTGGCCCCCTGGCCGCCCAGTGTGCCCAAGATATCCCTCGACCCCCGAACCCCAGTTCAGCAAATCAGGGGACCGAGGGTCCCGCGGGAGAACTGCACCGGCTACCCCGCCCCCGCACCGGGTCCTTACCCAAAAGCCAAAGCAACAAAGAAAGACGCTGTAATTTGGTTAAGTAAGAGACTTAGTAGTTAAGTACGTAATAAAGATACAATTTATTAAGTAAGGGAAATAAGTTCTCAAATGCCTAATGAAGAAGAATTCTTCCACAATTGCTAAACAGAGAGGTTTTCTTGTAATAGCATCTTGTCGCAGGGAATCCTCCAATGAAGGGTCTCCGCGGAAAGGAGGGTTCCTGGGGACAAAGGCGGCCGGAGAGACAGCCTAGGTTTTTCTGACCAGTGCGTGGGGCGTCTGGTGGTGTCTCTCCAGATCAGGATGAGGGCGATGCTCCGGAAGGGTCTCCGGCGTCAGAGGTCTCGGGTTTCAGACATTGGGTTCCTCATTTGGCCGCCCAGGGAAGCTTTCGGGGCGAGCGACGTCCTCCCGTCCTGAGGGCGTCGGTGACGCCTGGCCGGGAGCCGGCGTGGTGTCCGAAGCCCGAGACTCGCCGCGCGGCCTGCAGGGGCTCTGTGCTTGGGTTCCGTGTTTGGGGCAATATGGGCGCAGAAGCCTGCAGGGAGGAGAAGGTTCTTCCCGATTGAAGTCCTCCTTGTCCGGAGAGAGTTCGCCCAGCGTAGGATAGCAAGGGAGCCGCCAGCCCTTAGGGTTCACCGAGCGAAGGAGCCGCCGCAGCTCAGGTTCCTGGGGCTCCTCCGCGGAATCCCAGGCCTCGCGCACACAGCGGGGAAAGTGCTCCATTGCTTCAGCCGGTGAGAAGTTAAGTCTTCGTGGATCCCGTCCTTGCGAATTTATAGTGTTCTGGGCTCTTAAGTGTCCAACCAGGGGCTATTAGGGTGGGTGGTTGCAAATTGCTTCAGAAGGTGGGACCTGAGAAGATTGAGGGAAAATTCAATCATCTTGGATGGAGCTATTAGAAGTTGAGTTGACTTTGTTGATTTGAGGGGATTAAAACTTGTTTGTTTAAACGAAATAGAGGTACAGAGGCTCTGTCAAGAAAAGCAATTTGGGAGGCTACTCTTATGAAAAGCATCCTAAGTACTTATTACTTTTAGGTTACTATGTCCATTGATTCTCGGGGCCCTTTGCTTAGAAACAGCGTATCATTAGATTTTACCGAGATGATCAAACTGTGGCCATCTTTGGATGAAACCACACTGCTGGTCAGACTTCCCCTCTGGTTTTCAATTCTAAGTTAAAACTGCTTCAAACTTTCAGCCAACCAGTAGAAGTGCCAGGGTCAAGATCTCCAGATTTAGATGCAGACTCTTTGGTAGGAGATAGTCAGCTAGTTGTCTAACCTCTCTTGTCTTCATACCATACATTACCTGGATGGTAGCTGAAGTTTAACATTTTAAAGGCAACTTTTTGGATTAAATTCATTAACAAAAGTCACATAATTACATAGTCCCAGGCAAAATAATAAGTTGCTCCATTACAGTTATTGTTATTTTCTTTGTCATTCTTAGCGCTATAATCATGGCTATTAAACAAAACATCAATCAATAGCAAACTCAAAATGTTGTCTTTTTCTGTGTTTAATCGTAGTGGTTTGCTTTTCCCTTCTAGTGTCAGATTTATAGTGTAATTGCATCTCCTTATATCCTTCCTCAGATGTTTCAGACATTGTCTTGGCAAACATGTCAGTGCATCCAAGCCTAGATGTCCTTGATCAGTCATTTATCTTCAGCTTAACAAAGTCAGTTTAATTCAAATTGTTTTAAACAAGCGTGTTTCCACAATCTGCCACGAGCAAGGTGCTGTGATAGGTACTGCACACCGACTTGTAGAACCTGCTCCTGCTTTGGCAGAGCAGAATTTTAAGGGAAGAGCAAACTTATAAACAAGAGACCGTGAGGACACAGCTGAATCTTCTTCCGTACTGTAGTTGATTCTCTGTCAAGAAAGCAAACTCTAATGTTTAAGATGATCCCCACTAAAGCCAGTGTTGTGCATGAGCTGAGGGGAAAAAAAAGAAAAGTAGGAATAAAAATGAGAAAGGAGATAGAGAAAAGAGGGAAGATAATCAAAACCAAAAATGAGAAATAAGGAAATAAAGAGGATGGAAAATATGGACAACACAAGAGGCAGGGAGTTGGAAGCTCTGGTCAAGGCAGCCAAGAATAGGAAGTTAAAGGGGTTCGTTAGAGCAACTGACTTTGTTCTTGTTGTTACTAGGTCGAGTCTGACTTTTTGAAACCCCATGGACTGTAGCCCACCAGGCTTTTCTGTCCATGGGTTTTTCCCAGGCAAGGATACTGCAGTGGGTTGCCACTTCCTTCTTAACGAGATCTTCTCAACCCAGAGATTGAACCCAAGTGTCCTGTGTTCCAGATAGATTCTTTACCACTGAGTCGCCTAGGAAGCAACTGACTTGGGGAAATCTAATAAGGATATTCAAGGCAGAAAGCTCTGCTGGTCCAGTCTTAAGGGAAGGACAACAACACTGTTCTCTTTGAAGGCTCAGCATGATGCTATTAGGCTCTGGTGGTGTGGAAACTTCCCAGAAAATTGTTTGAACACAAATGACAGCTACTTCCCCCACAGAGGTTAGGAGCAAGTAGCCTGTGTTATGGGGCTTCCCAGGCAGCTCAGTGGTAGAGAATCCACCTACCAATGCAGGAGCCATAAGAGACTCCAATTGGATCCCTGGTTCAGAAAGATCCCCTGGAGGAGGAAATGGGAACCCAATCCAGTATTCTTGTCTGGAAAATTCCATGGACTGAGGAGCCTGGCAGACTATATTCCATTGGGTCTCAAAGAGTCGGACATGACTGAAGCAATTTAGCATGCACGCACGCATGTTTGAATAAAGAAAGAAAGGTGTCCAAAGTAGTAATGATTGACAACTCAAGTTATTAATCCATGCATATAATGTGGTTCTTTGGAGGGAAATAATATTTGTTTAATTAATTTGCATTAGTATGTTTACATTTGTAAAAAATATAAGCATACTTCAAAATGTATCAATATAATTACTCATCAGTTGGGAAGGGGTAGGGTGTAAGTTATATTTTCAATTTATAAGGTACAGTCCTATTTCACTTTAAAATGTTTATAGCTTTGATATTAAAATGTTTAGAGATAGTTCAACAAGAAATAGAAGGATTCTAATGCCTATTCACATTACCTTTAAAAGTACAACAGGTAATAGTCACTAAGAACTTATGATAAGCACTGTACTGTGTCATTTTTATTATCCCATTTATTTAAGTGCTATTATAAATTACATTTTATAAGTAAGAAAATGTAGGGTTACAGAATTTAAGTAATGTTTCAGAATGAAGTGCTGATTAGCACATGTTGGGATCTCCCATTTCCGTTGGAAAATGACACAGCTGTGTGTGACTGTCACGTGGGCACTGCCTGTTCTCCACAAAACTCTTTCCGGGTCCAACCTCTTGGACCAGATGTATTGGTTCAGCATCTAGGAGACTAAAGGTTTGGAACTTCATCTGTCTGCCCTCAACGGTATTGTCTGGAAGCCAGAGGTTACTCCCTGTCCCACAGGGAACAGGAACTTGGGTCTGAACAACCCCCAAAGGCTAAGGAGAGGCTGGGGGAATGCTCCACTTGTTTAGGATGAGAATTGTGTGGTGAATGATGGTTCCCCATCATCTCTAACTTCAGCCCCCAGGAAGCTGAATACTGTAGATTAGGCAGCTCGTGAAACCCAAAAAAGCCATGAGAGACCAATGTGTGCACGTGTGGAAGGAACTGCAGCAGAATGTCACATAGGAAAGGCTCTGGAAACTCTGCCCTCTCTCAGCCTTACGGGTAGTTTTTCCTTCATGCTTTCCCCTCCAACTTGCTTAAAAATACCCCCTTCATGCTTAGTTGCTATAGTTACTATCTATTTAGTATTCAAGTACTGCTGTGGTACATTCAGCCTCTGGTGTCTTTTAAAAATCATGTCTTGCAGGGGCTTCCCTGGTGGCCCAGCAGTAAAGAAACTGCCCGCCAATGCAGGAGATATGGATTCAGTCTCTAATCTGGGACAATCCTACATGCTGTGGAACAGCTAAGCCTTGGGGCCACAACTATTGAGTCTGTGCCCTAGAGCCCACGTGCTGTAACTACTGAAGCTCACAAGCCCTAGAACCCATGCTCTGCAACAAGAGAAGCCACTGCAACGAGAAGCCCGCACACTGCAACTGAATAGTAGCCCCTACTCACCACAGCTAGAGAAAAGCCAGCATAGCAATAAAGAAATAGCAGTCCAAAATAAAATTTTTTTAAAAATCATGCCTTCCATTTTATCTCTAAGAGCAGTATACTTTGGAATTGTGTAGATATGACTATCATTTACATTTTTTATCTTGTATTGGCATACATGTCTGTTTTTCACTACAATTTCTGCTTATAGAATTAGTACTCTGGCTCAAGAGTATTCAGGTTGAAATGTTTAATACGTATGATCATACTGGCTTTCCAAAGATCCTTTCAAATTTTTCTCAAAAGCTATGTTGGGGAGTGCTACTTTACCAATATTTGGACAAATGAAAAAGATTAATATAGGCCACCAACGTACTCAAGGTTATATGTCATGGTTTCATTTTGTATTTCTTTAATCTTTTGGAGCCCTGACCTGGGTCTCAGTTCTCCTTTCAGACAAAGACCCCCCCATCCCAATACCACTTCCAGTCCTGACCCCACCCACCCAAATCAATCCACAAGCAGAGAACAGGGAAGCTTTTTTCTCTTTTTTTTAGGGAAGCATGTTTTAATCATTGTGCAAATTGGAATTAATATAAGAAACATGACAATTCTGAGTACATCGACAGGAAAGTTCCTTGATAGCATAGATTCCCGAAGAGAGATTCCTTTTTTTCTAATTTATTTTTTAATTGAAGGGTAATTGTTTTACAGAATTTCGTTGTTTTCTGCCAACTATCAACATGAATCAGCCATAGGTATACATATGTCCCCCCCTTGGTCTGAAGCTCCCTCCCATCTCTCTCCCCATCCCACCCCTCTAGATTCTTACAGAGCCCCAGTCTGAGCTCCCAGCATTATACACCAAGTTCCCATTGGCTACCTATTTTACATATGCTAATATGTTTCCCTGTTACTTTTTCCATACAGCTCACCCTCTCCTTCCTCCCCCTGCCCTGTCAATAAGTCTGTTCCCTATGTCTGTTTCTCCATTGCTGCCCTGCAAATAAATTCATCAGTACCATCTTTCTAGGTTCCATATGTATGTGCGTTAGTATAAGACATTTCTCTTTCTCATTCAGACTTAGTTAACTCTGAATAATAAGCTCTAGGTTCATCCACCTCATTAGACCAGACTCAAGAGATTTCTAATTGAAAAGTCCGTCAATAATCCAAGAAAGGAAGGACAAAAGAATGTTCTGCCCCCACAGATATCCCCAGGCTCCTCCCAGAGAGAGGTGGAGCCCAGGGGAGAAGTCCAGCCCGGCAAAGTGGGCCTCCGTTGGGGTGACTCAGGCTCCAGTCCAGGGCGGCGATTGAAGGGGTGCCGTGGGCCAGGCAGGAGGCTACTATTCCTTTCCTTGCCGGGTTCCACCGGGTTTCAAGTCTCAGTTTTCCACAGCCTCGGGGTGTCTGGGGTGGGGTGGGGTGGGGTGGGGTGGAGGGGGTGCTGGGCTCCTGGAGGCGATCTGGCCGCGAGTCTGGCGGCCTCCGCAGCTGCTGGCATCTGCTGGCTGTTCAGACCCTCCTGGGCCCCGCGCTGTGTGGCTTTGGCCTCTTCTTGACGGGGCCGTCGCTCCAGCCCGGACTAGCAGCCGGCTCCCGGACTTGCGGGTCTCGCCAGCATTTCTGGCCGCTCCCGACGCGGGGACCGTCCGCGTGTCCGGGGCAAGCGTGGCGCAGCAGCCCACAGGCGCAGTAGTGCGGGTCCCCGCAGAGGTCGGGGCTTAGGCAGGAGGGGCGGCTCAGCGCGGGGAAGTTATCCAGGGCCCAGGCCCAGGCCTGTTCTCGGTTCAGGCCCGGAGGCCAGTGGGGCTCGGGACGTGCGCTCCTCTCAGACTGCGCTTCCAAGGCGCAGTGTGCGTGCGCTTCCAAGGCTTCAGCCTCCTCACCAGGCCGAGAGCGCAGCGGGTCTAACCACAGGGACGAAAGATTGAATGATTCAGTTGGGTGCGGAATGTGCATTTTATAGTGCCTGCCTGACCTGATTTTGGGAAACCCTGGTGTTGATAGGTGGGATACACATTCATTTGCCTTGCAAATTACCTTGGGGTCTCTGGGAATTGAGGTGAAAACCACATCGTTCTGGGAGGGGCATGGAAATTCTGATTGGGTTTTGGTGATTGGGTTAAAGGAAGGGGCTGGAAGAAGAAGAGGTCCCTGGCAGTTGCCATTCACTGGAAGAAGCCTCTCTGGGAGGCAGGACTGGTCAAATCACACTTCAGTGTCTCTTCTTTGAGCAGATGAGAGGGGATGGGCTGGTGTTAGAGAGAAGGCTCAGTCCCACATTCCACCTTTGCCAAAGCCCACAGCTGCTTCATGCTGGAGCTGGCCTGAGATTCCAGGTCCTCTTGCTTTCACATCAGGAAAGGAAAAGAGGAAGCGAGTGATCATGTAGGGGTGAGGAAAAGGAGAGTCCCATGCCTACTTAGAATTGTAATATTCCTATTTTTTTTCTACAGTAGATGATCTGAATCAAAGGAAGACTTCATATATACTATGGTTTTCATACCTAGTTCACAAATGCATTGAGTTAATGACACATTTTCTTTTCTTTTTTTTTAATGTTTTTTATTTTTTTCATTTATTTTTATTAGTTGGAGGCTAATTACTTTACATCATTGCAGTGGTTTTTGTCATACATTGAAATGAATTAGCCATGGATTTACATGTATTCCCCATCCCGGTCCCCCCTCCCACCTCCCTCTCCACCCGATCCCTCTGGGTCTTCCCAGTGCACCAGGCCAGAGCACTTGTCTCATGCACCCAACCTGGGCTGGTGATCTGTTTCACCCTAGATAATATACATGTTTCGATGCTGTTCTCTTGAAACATCCCACCCTCGCCTTCTCCCAGAGTCCACAAGTCTGTTCTATACATCTGAGTCTCTTTTTCTGTTTTGCATATAGGGTTATCGTTACCATCTTTCTAAATTCCATATATATGTGTTAGTATACTGTAATGGTCTTTATCTTTCTGGCTTACTTCGCTCTGTATAATGGGCTCCAGTTTCATCCATCTCATTAGAACTGATTCAAATGAATTCTTTTTAATGGCTGAGTAATATTCCATGGTGTATATGTCCCACAGCTTCCTCATCCATTCGTCTGCTGATGGGCATCTAGGTTGCTTCCATGTCCTGGCTATTATAAACAGTGCTGCAATGAACATTGGGGTGCACGTGTCTCTTTCAGATCTGGTTTCCTCGGTGTGTATGCCCAGAAGTGGGATTGCTGGGTCATATGGCAGTTCTATTTCCAGCTTTTTAAGAAATCTCCACACTGTTTTCCATAGTGGCTGTACTAATTTGCATTCCCACCAACAGTGTAAGAGGGTTCCCTTTTCTCCACACCCTCTCCAGCATTTATTGCTTGTAGACTTTTGGATAGCAGCCATCCTGACTGGCGTATAATGGTACCTCATTGTGGTTTTGATTTGCATTTCTCTGATAATGAGTGATGTTGAGCATCTTTTCATGTGTTTGTTAGCCATCTGTATGTCTTCCTTGGAGAAATGTCTGTTTAGTTCTTTGGCCCATTTTTTGATTGGGTCATTTATTTTTCTGGAGTTGAGCTGGAGGAGTTGCTTGTATATTTTTGAGATTAATCCTTTGTCTGTTGCTGCGTTTGCTATTATTTTCTCCCAATCTGAGGACTGTCTTTTCACCTTGCTTATAGTTTCCTTTGTTGTGCAAAAGCTTTTAAGTTTCATTAGGTCCCATTTGTTTATTTTTGCTTTTATTTCTAAAATTCTGGGATGTGGGTCATAGAGGATCCTGCTGTGATTTATGTCGGAGAGTGTTTTGCCTATGTTCTCCTCTAGGAGTTTTATAGTTTCTGGTCTTACATTTAGATCTTTAATCCATTTTGAGTTTATTTTTGTGTATGGTGTTAGAAAGTGTTCTAGTTTCATTCTTTTACAGGTGGTTGACCAGTTTTCCCAGCACCACTTGTTAAAGAGGTTGTCTTTTTTCCATTGTATATCCTTGCCTCCTTTGTCGAAGATAAGGTGACCATAGGTTCGTGGATTTATCTCTGGGCTTTCTATTCTGTTCCATTGATCTATATTTCTGTCTTTGTGCCAGTACCATACTGTCTTGATGACTGTGGCTTTGAAGTATAGTCTGAAGTCAGGCAGATTGATTCCTCCAGTTCCATTCTTCTTTCTCAGGATTACTTTGGCTATTCGAGGTTTTTTGTATTTCCATACAAATTGTGAAATTATTTGTTCTAGTTCTGTGAAAAATACCATTGGTAGTTTGATAGGGATTGCATTGAATCTATAGATTGCTTTGGGTAGTATAGCCATTTTGACAATATTGATTCTTCCAATCCATGAACACGGTATATTTCTCCATCTGTTTGTGTCCTCTTTGATTTCTTTCATCAGTGTTTTATAGTTTTCTATGTATAGGTCTTTTGTTTCTTTAGGTAGATATACTCCTAAGTATTTTATTCTTTTTGTTGCAATGGTGAATGGTATTGTTTCCTTAATTTCTCTTTCTGTTTTCTCATTGTTAGTGTATAGGAATGCAAGAGATTTCTGTGTGTTAATTTTATATCCTGCAACTTTACTGTATTCGTTGATTAGCTCTAGTAATTTTCTGGTAGAGTCTTTAGGGTTTTCTATGTAGAGGATCATGTCATCTGCAAACAGAGAGAGTTTCACTTCTTCTTTTCCTATCTGGATTCCTTTTACTTCTTTTTCTGCCCTGATTGCTGTGGCCAACACTTCCAAAACTATGTTGAATAGTAGTGGTGAGAGTGGGCAATGAGACATTTTCAATACTTTTTTCTTTCATTCTTTTTTGTTATTTGAGAACTCTTATCCTTTCTTATGTAATTATGTTCATTCTATTATTCTGGGCTCCTCTTTCTCTCTGCTCTCCCTTTTTCCACTGCAGCTCTTCCTATTAAAGAACTATTTTATTTTCTACATGTGGTTTTGTATCAGACTTGTAATATGTGGCATAGTTTTGTGTATGCATATCTTCAATTCATGTAAGGTTATCAGTTTAAAGCATCTACTTCTGCTTCATTGACCATGAAAGCCTTTGTTTTTGGATCATAACATACTCTGGAAAATTCTTAGAGTTGGGAATACTAAACCACCTTACCTGTCTCCTGAGAAACCTGTATGCAGGTCAAGAAGAAACAGAACCAGACATGGAACAATAGACTAGTTTAAAATTGGGAAAGGAGTATGTCAAGGCTGTGTGTTGTCACCCTGCATATTTAACTTCTATGCAGAGTACATCATACAAAATGCCAGGCTGGATGAAGCTCAAGCTGGAATCAAGCTTGCCTGGGGGAAATATCAATAACCTCAGATATGCAGATGACACCATTCTAATGGCAGAAAGCAAAGAGAAACTAAAGAGCCTCTTGATGGAGGTGAAAGAGGAGAGTGAAAAAGCTGGCTTAAAACTCAACATTCAAAAAACTAAGATCATGGCATCTGGTCCAATCAGTTCATGGCAAATAGATGGGGAAACAACAGAAACAGTGACAGACTTTATTTTCTTGGGCTCCAGCATCACTGCAGATGGTGACTGTAGTCAGGGAATTAAAAGACGCTTGCTCCTTGGAAGAAAAGCTATGACAAACCTAGACAACATATTAAAAAGCAGAGACATTATTTTGTTGACAAAGGTCCATTTAGTCAAAGCTATGGTTCTTCCAGTTGTCCAGTGGAATGCAAAGACCCTGACACCAGAGGGCCTCAGCTTGTATTGAGAGTGGGCCCCTTTCCTATTCATTTACACCACTGTGCTGCTATATTCTCCAAAATTATCTCCTCCCAATACACCCATACCACTTTAAAGCTTAGGATACACCGTTTCCACTTTGAGAAACCTCCTTAAAGATATGCTTACATAGTGCTTCCACTATATATAGGCACTTTCTGTTAGGTCAACACAGGCACCCCTCCACTTTATCACATCAGGACTTTCATCACATTCTGTGACTTTTCACATCTTTACCCTCTCATTCAAAAGGGACCCAAGACCACATCACAACCTTGTGCAACAATCCTGTTGCCCCACTGGTAAGTGACAAATTCTTTAATTTTTGTCATCTTCAGTGTTGATATATATTTATGTCCTTAAGCTCATCCTCCCTCCCTCTTCCTCAAAAGGGCAGGGGTAAAGAACCAACATTCTACTTTGATGATTAACATAGTGATTTCTGAAATACGTTCAGAGAATGAAGGAAACAGGTTGGGTCTCTTCTACATCTCTAGGATGTGAATTTACCTCTGAATAAAGAGGGAGAGTCCGAAATCTGATTCCTGAGGGAAGATAAACAAAGGATGGCCTGACTCCCCCTCACGGGGTGGGGGGGTGGGGTTGAAGGTAAGAAGTGTGTCTAGAGAATTCTTCCTCCCATGCCTCGTCTTCATAGTTTGGTGGTGCTTCCGGCTGATCTGGCGGAGTCAGTGTCAACCAGCTTATATGAACCACCTGGATATTCCGGAGTTCCTGCTGCCAAAACCATTAGTAATGGAATCATGCTAATCAGTAACAGCAGCTCAAGCATCAGTTTGTTTTAGCACCAGGAATGTGAACAGACACAGCTAAAGAGTAGTCCCCTTTATGCTCCAGCAGTTCTGGATGGTTGGCGTCACTGGCGGGATCCTAAGGATCTTCCCTTTCCAGCTGTCGGTGGTTCCCGGACACGTTGGCCACCTCCAACCTCAGTCTTTGTTTTTCTGTTGGCCAGGTATGTCTGCATCTGGAAAACCGCCACTTTGGGATCAATCAGATGAAAGCAGCAATTCTCTACTTCTGCATAGATTGGAATAGTTTCTCCATTGCAGGATCCCTTTCCTTTAGTCTTGGCACTCAGTGAAATTGGACCAGAGGTGAAAAGCTAACAGGGGGTGGGAGGTGGGAGAATAGGAAGGAGACTGAAGAGGGAGGGAATATATGCATACATATAGCTGGTTCATGCTGTTATACAGTA